CTTGCTCTTCACTTCTTGTCCTCTCTTTATTATGGAAAATTTCAAAAAAATACAAAAGTAGAGAGAAGAGTATAATGGACCCCCATATTCCTACCACTGAGGCTTTAATACTCATCAACTCATGGTCAGTTTTACTTCACTTATATATCCCACCCCCATCTCCCATGTCAGGCTCTCATTTTGTGATGTTAACAGCCACTGATGATTGATGATCATTGTCTATATCCGTTATTTCATTAGAGGGTGCAAGGTGGTGACATTCCAATTCTATCATTCCTTCTTCATTATTAGTTGGATTACCCTTATAAAGTGAAACTTGCCCTCATAAATTACTTGGTTACTTTGAGGTTTAATTTGTAGAGAAACAGCAAGATAAATGATTGACTTTTCCTTTTATTTACTAGTTTTTGATATGTTTCTCCTGTTTTCTAAAACTATAATTTGTATTTTTATTAAAACTGAAATAAAATATTATTTTAGAAGGCTTCTAATGAAAAAATAGCACTTTAATTGCCCCTCCCCAACTTCGATTTCTGATCCTTGTTCCACAGTGGTAACTTTCATCCACTCTTGGCTGTTTCTTCTAATATTTTCCTATTTTCTTCTAAATTTATGAATTAAGCTATTATACTTCTAACTTTTCCCCATTTTACACAGTGTCTGTTCCTACTATGGATGATGTCCTCTGCTTTTTGTTTTCTCTTCCTGCCCAAATGTCTACTCTTTGCTCTGAATAGGGGCATGGCTGTAGAGTTCAGTCCCTGTCCCTCTCCTCCTTTTCTCTCTGCATTCCACAGTGCCTTGGTGCTGTAGACCACCCCCACCCCCCCAGTTTAGCCCTAGTCCACCATCTGCATCTGCCTGTTGGGCATTTATACCTCAATTTACTGCTGCCTCTTTCAACTCAACATGTCCCAGAACAGGTTTTTCATGAGTAGGGTGGACAGTGACGGTTGTGGGAGCTCTGGGAAGGGAAGGCCTTGGTGGACACATGATAACAGAAGCCCTTTACAGGGTCTATGGCTCAAGCTGGTGGCTGGGCAGCCTCAGAGGAGCAGCAGGGGTTACTGGATGTGGGTAGTTCATAGTTCCTTGGGGGAGTACTGGCGAGATGGTCTGACCAAAGCAGAAGCTCCGTGTGTGTGTGTGTGTGTGTGTACATAAACATACACTTGCCCTAGCATGTGCATCTCAAGGGTGGGGGTGGAGGATTGTGAAGGAGTAGGTTGTCATCAAGTTGTGGAGGGCACTGAACACCAGCCCACAGATTTTGGACTGTATCTCATAAGTGATAGGGAGCCATTGTAAGAGCAGGAGGGGAACAGTGAAGACAGTGATAGAGTTTGATCCAGCTATAGTGGTCAGGATAGAAGGGAGGTGGGGAGACATAATATGAGAAGGGTCCAGCTCTTGGTAGTTGCAGTGAGAACAGAGCAAAAGGGGCAGGGACAGTGTGCTCATCATGTGAACCAAACACTGTTCAAAGCAGTTTCATGCCTTGCTTCTCTGCCTGATGACTGCACTATTGGGCATCTGCTCTGGGCATTCTACCACATACAGCACTGGGATGAAAAAGAAGAATCAGATGTGAGTTTTCTCCTCAGCAGGACTGTAATGTCCCACAGAAAAAACTGTCCCATGGTGTGACCTTGTATTTTCCAAGTGTTGAGTGCAGAATTTCCTAACAAATGTCAGTTGACAAAAGGGTAATTTCTTTTGTTATATATAAGGAAGAAGGGGGTTCTGGTGTTTGGGATAAGAGAAGAAGAGTTTAGATTTAGACTTGGTGGGAGAGAGCCCATGTATCAGGAGCCACATGGGCTCTCTCCCACCAAGTCTGGCCCCCGCCAGGTCCTTTCCTCTCTTCAGGTTCTCAGGCATACAGTCACCTTTTCCTTAGACCTGCCACTACACACCCCTCTTCTTGGGTTCTTCTCTTAGATGGGCTGTAGAGACCCCTCCTTTTTGCTGTCTTCTCCCCCTCCAAAAACAAAACCTATCAAACCAAAGAAACCAAACCAGCACATGGGCCTTTTCTTGCTTTGTGGGTTACAATGCTCTAGAGAAATGGAAGTGGCTATAAAGAATACTCAGTGTGAGGACATTCCAAAGGTTCCTGAATCTTAGAAACTTATATTCATTGCTCCTGGTCTACACACAGTTCTTACCTTCCTTTTATAGATGACAGACAGAAGATCATACAATTCTCTTTTCTTTCTTCAGCCTCTGCCTGTCTGCAGATCATGCAGACCTCTCTCTAGCATCTGCTTTTGAACACTGGCAGTGGTGAGGGTGTCTCCCTTTTTTTTTCCTATTAACGTTCCTATGGAACAAAATTAACATGGAGGATTGCCATCCTCTGAACCAAGCTGAGGAGAGCAGGGTAATCTTAGGGCAACTGTCCATAATCTTTTCTCGGTCCAGACCTCTTGGAAAATCCAATAAAAGCTATAGTATCTCCCCTCAGAAAATGCCCAAGCCCATACAATTATGCATATAATTCTGTTCTGGGGCTTTATGGATGCCAGGTTAAACACCTCAGATTTAGAAGAGCATATAACTTGACAAGTCCCTCAGAGATAAGCCCCTTTTACTTTCTCCTTATCCCCGCAGCTGCTGCCTGAAGAGTCACTAAGTCTCTTTTTCCAAGAATGTCATAAACGAGCCACACAGGACTTCGAACTCCACATGCCACGGGGTCGGTACTGGCGGCATCGCCTCTGTCCTGGTAAGTCCTCATCCCAGTGTTCCCTTCCAGGCTTCTCAGGGGGTAACAGTGTCCTGGCCCCTCCAAATCCTGGCTCCACTCCTCTGTCTCCATCCTGTCCTCACCTTCTGTGTCCCCCTCACCCTGAAATCCTACCCTCTTCCCCCAAATGCTCCATTAGGGGCTTGATGGATCTCCCTAGCCTCATATCCTGTCCTTTCTCTTCTCTCACTCCAGAACTTCCCAGCATTCCTAGTGAGTATGCTGGGTTGGTGGTCCGCAGGGTACTGGAGCCTGTGTTGCAAGGACTGCAAGGACTGCCACACCAAGCCCAGACCCCTGCCCTCAGCCTGGCGCTGACTGCCATCCTGGGTGCCTGGCTTGACCACATCCTCACCCACGGGATCCGGTTCAGGTGGGGAGAAAAGGAGGCCGTGGCAGGGGGATGAATGGAACTGAAAAAAAGGGAGGGGATGGGTGGGGCAGAGCCGTCCGGAGAGGCAGGAGGGTCAGGTGGCCACACTGTACCTTGGCCTTCAGCCTGCAGGGGGCGCTGCAGCTCAGACAAGACTTTGGAGTGGTCAGGGAGTTGCTGGAGGAGGAGCAGTGGGGCCTGTCCCCAGAACTTCGCCAGACTCTGTTCAGGCTCAGCATCTTCCAGCGGCTGGATGGGGCCCTGCTGTGTCTGTTGCAGCAGCCCCTGCCCAAGACTCAAGTCCACAGGGGGCCTCCCTGTTGCTGTGAGTCACTCTCCCTCCCCAACTCCAGGCTGTCTTTGCCCCTAGCTCATAACTTTATGTGCCGCATCTCCCATCCTCATCATTGATCTGGCTTCTGTGTGTGCCCCCCTCCCCCCCACACACACCGCCAGCCACCTGCCTTACACTCCTGCCTTACCAGGTGCATGTAATGAGGTCCAGACCATGGAATTGCCCAGCAGCAGCCTCAACAGCCTGGAGAGCTTGGAGCCCCCTCTTCGACCTGGAGCACTCCCAGCCCAGACAGCTCAGCTGCTAAGCACACTGTGGGTAGAAGGACCTAGCCCTGAGGCTTACCTGGTAGGAAATCAGCAGGCCTGGCTTGCCCTGAGGCAGCACCAGCATCCCCGCAGGCACTTACCTTTTCTTTCCTGCCTGAGGACCAGTTCTGAATCCTAAGGACCCTAATCAGAGCCCGTCAGAACTCCCTATCTCTGTCTGAAAAAGCCCAGACATTTAGAAATGCATATTAAAAAAGCCTAATTGGGAGCTTGGAAGAAAGCATACTTGAGAACCACAAGCTACACAGAGCTTGGACTTAGAAACCTGGAGGTCAGCATCGTTGGGAGGCTTGGGCTTAGTTCCCCATCAGTGAAGACATCTCAGAGCTAGACACTAGCAGTAAGGGGCTAGATGCTGGGAGTAAGGCTTTAGGGTTGGATCCCAGGGGAAAGGGAAAGA